TCGAACGCTACTGTAGCTTGATCGTCGGCCCGATTACCAAAGTCCATGGAGCCTGCTGAGGTCGACGATGAGAAAATACGCCTTCATGAAAATATGTATGTATGTATGTGCAGCTGGGGACAGAGCACAAAGGCGACGGCTGTAGACAAACTACCCGAAGATGATGAAGATAAGCGTCAACAGCGGAGTCGCAATCGATTCTGAACTGAGGAAGTCAACACTGGCGTGAAATTACAGCACAATAAGGTTTCACCGGAGAAATACCGACTGAGAGAACTCACAGTCATAAACTGCGATACCCCCTTCCTTAAACGTAAAGAATAGATGCTCAATGATGCTCACTGATTAAGAAGCAAAGTACAGTAGCTGCATTCTCGTCAATGAAAGTAAAATGATCTGAACCAAAATTTTAAACCTTTGCATTTAGAAGATTTGCATTAGATGTCGAATCTACGACCCGCTTTCAGGCCGATGAAGGTGTTAGGTAGAACCTGATTTGGCTGAGAGAATTATTAAATGGAATTCGGCAAGCGAAAGAGCGATAATCATCCGACTTAAGTTAAAAACAGGCAAACGCCTTCGCATTGTTAAATATCTATAAATCAGATTCGCATGGAGAACATGCGTCCTTCCTGAAAAAAGTAGATGGTCTACCGTACAAAGCGCCGGCTACGAAATTCGTCAATCTTATGAGGGACATCAATGCACGTCAGAGAGCACATGGAAAAGTAAACAGGCGTAACTGAAAAGAACCGCACTAACGGGCTTAACAATAACGGCACTAAGTTTCTGTACTTTAGAGCAAGTAATCAACATTCAACTATGAAAGAATTTTACGAGCATCAAAAATGGAATCAGCATTCCTCGAATGCGGAACTCCCTGAACATAAGTCGATAAGCGATTTTATACTAGTATCGTTCGATTTACCATGGTATTTAATGAGAACTATGAAGAGAGCTATCAGAAGCTATCACTTTGCTGTCGGCACCATCCACTGCAAACGCGCGACTGACAAGAATTGACGATAGAAGAAATAAGAGAATCAAATGGAAAACAGTGCGGACATGAGGATGAAACAGCAAAAAACATCTCATGATGGTCTCA